TGATTATATATTTTTTTTTAATTTTTATTACTACTATTTTTTGGATTTCAATTCGCTTACACCAATTAACATTTTCTATGCCTGCATAGAAAACGCGTGCAATAAAATTAGAAGGCGTTTTTTAGAAAAAATATTTTTAGGGCCAATACAACAAAAAACGCCTGCACTTGCGCCTTGCTGACGCCAACACCGCCACACGCTTACTCGCTAACGCTACAATTACGACGCGGCCACAACACGCACTAGCGCACTACCTACTGCTATCTTCACATATTTACACATTTTATATTATTTTTTAACTATATTAATTGTTTAATCGGATATTATCTACATGTAGTTTAATTAAAGTACTAAATATAATTATAATTATGTTTAGCTTTTTATTTTTATAATGTACATTTTTATAAATATAGCGACGTAATTTTATAATTTCAATATTTATTGATTTTTTATTTTATATTTTTTTTGTTTGTTTGTTGGTTTAATTTGATTGTGTATAACAATATTTATAAACTAGTTGTTTTAAAACTACTTTTTAATTAACCTTTAAATTTAATTTTACTTTCAATACGTTTTTGAAAATGAAAAAGGTAGGCATATATATATAACAGTTTTTTAATTTACACCTTCATCTTTTATTAAATTACTATTATTTTGTACTTTTTTATTTTGAAATTTTACAACTTTTATTGTTTTTTATTTTATTTTTATTTTTTTGTTTTAGTTTTCTTCATAACTTCATATTTAAATTTCAATTTTGCTGCTGCGCTCACTTAGTAACTTAACTAGGCTAGTTGTGTTATTTTTGAAATAATTTCGTTTTTGCGTTTAGTTCACAGAAACATTAAATATTTACGAGTAGTAGTAGTTTTACAAGTAGTTAAATTGTTGTTGTTGATTTTTCACGTTTGCTTTCTGCTATATTTGTTGCTTTTGTTTGTTGTTGTAATGCACTTAATTGCACACAAAAAGCAAATAATTACGCAAATAAGTTAAAAGTAAAACGAGTAAATAAAATATGTATTGAGTACACGTAGCAATGTTAGGTAATATGCCGAAAAAATTTTGAAAAGTAAAAAAAAATGTTGAAACTGGGCTAAAAATAAGTTGGGTTAAAAACATTAATTCAAGCATAAACGCTAAAGAGGAGTACAGCAAGTCACTTTTTCCAGCTTTTTTATATGCACTAAAAAAAACGCCTGTGAGAAAAATGCAAAAAAAATATATATGTATATATTTCAAATTTTTACACAAGCAAGCGCTGGAATTCAGCACTTTACGCGGCATTAAAGTGTAATTAGCGTCTAATAGAATAAAATTTAAAGTAAATAAGTTGGAAAGGAAACAAAACTAATGCCTAAAGGCAGCTTAGCGCTGCGCTGTTACGTTATTATAACTAAAAGATAGTAATAAAATCAGGTAGTTATTAGTTAGTGTTGGCTGCAAGCGCACTAAGCGGTTTGACACACTTTAAAAGGTCCATAAATTGGGAGTAAAGCGCAAAATGTCAAGCAGAATTTAAACGAGAAACGCGCAAATTAAGTTATATTTGCATTGAGTACCAACTTTTTGCTTTGCGGCGGCCTTTTGTATAACAACAACACAAGATGTAATTTTTCGATTTTTTTCAGCTCGAAAAATTATCTTTTTTTCTTTGAAAATCAATGCTTTATTTTATATTTGAAAAATTATAATTTTTTATTATTTTTCTTATTTTTTTTTTAATTGATTTTCTTAATTTTTGATAATTTTTTTTCTGAATTCTTCTTCTCTTTTTGTCTTCTTATTTCGCTTTTGATTTCAAACTCTTTAACCGCATTAAACTTTCATTTCCATATACCCCACACGCCAGTGCATATACACCACACCATATTAAATTATAAGATATTATTTTTACACCTAAGCATTGCAGTCAGTAACTAAAAAACAAATAGTTATTTGTATTTATATTAAAAATGATTCTTTACATTGACTTGTTCTTTGAGTTTTGCGCAGTTGATTTTTTATTGCTTTTATTGCATAGTTTTAATTGCTATATAATACAAAAACAGCAGAAAATTAATTTAAAAAAATTAGCAAATTTGATACGGTATTATATGTTTTACATATAAATAATGGCTTATCAACGGAAAATTAAGAAACGAATATTGAAAGAGAAAGTTAAATTGAGAAATGTTTGCAAACAGTAAATTACAACGCGCATGTAACGGTGTGTCTCTAGAATGTTTTTGCTTTTTTGTGAAGAAAGTATTTATCATGTTTTTATCAACATGTACTATGTCTGTATGTATGTACAGCTATTAGAAAATACGGTATTTTTAAGAAAGCTATTACTTTTTCTTAAATATTTCTCAACACAGCAATCCGAAGCTTTCAAAATTTTATAAAATTTTTAAAGGTTTAAAAATTTATATGCAGTTATTAAAAAGTTAATGTAGCTCTACACTTTCTCGGAAATCGAATATTGAATTTAAATATAAAATTGGGTTATGCACTCAGCAGTGATGAACTTTATGACAATGTTAACGAAACTGGGAAATTTAAAAGCGGTTATTTTAATATTTATGGACTTGTAGAAACTTTTGTAGCATATTTTTGAAGCCTTTTGAATATACATAATTAATTTTTGAAAGAAACATTGCAAGAAATGTTTTGTTTTAAAGAATTTGAAAAAAAAAACATTACCAATTTTTCGAAAGAAAATTTTTTATAATTGGAAAAT